GCCAACAGGCTTTGGCGTTATCACGTTCCAGGACATTTCAGTTGGGACGAAGCGGGCAACAGAACAAATGACGCTGCTGAAGACGTGCTACCTGGAGAGGCCACCATCGAAGAAGAAACTGTACTCAGTTTTGAGAAGGGAAACGGTGAAGCTCTTGGTGAAGTTACTACCACTGATGTGACTGTTACCGATGATAGGACATTTCCTGATGAAGTAAATGAACCCCACGTGAAGCAGAAGCCAACGAGACGGAGACCAGTACGGACGTCCCGTAAAATTAAGAGACTTTGTTGAATTGTAATTTTGTGTTTGTAATTCTGTACAGTTAATTAAGTTATTGTTAATTGTTATTGGTTTATTATATGTGGTTATTGTTCGGGACGAACAATATTAAGGAGGGGGCAGTGTTGCGTCAGCGAGTCACATGACTACAGTGACGCCACGTTTCTAGAATTATCCTGTACTTTGGCGAATGTTCTAGTTCTTACTAGATATAGGGTAGGCGGGTATATATAAGAGGGGACAACGTGACGCGGTAAGGTAATGTGTGTGTAGATAGTGAGTAATTGATCTGCGGTCAGGAGTATTATTGACGTTCGTTGTTATAGCGTTGTTTAGCGCGATTGTTGAAGTTGAGTGTATTGGTAAAGTTGTATTCGGAAAGAATAAACCAGTTTTTATTAAGAAAGAACTTGGGTCGCTTAAGTTTCGTCGGAACGAAGTTACGAAAAATCAATCAACACAAACGGAGACGTAACAATATGTTTTATTAATTTTTGGCATTCCATTGTATATTTAATAACATTTCTTTAAACTTACATTTAATTTTAACTAACAAATATTTGTTGTTATTTTCCTATACTTGTAAACAGAGGTCGTACGTTCAGTTGTGCTGTTACACACACTCTGTAAAACATATACCATCAAACATATTTGAACAGCACACCCTGCAAAGGAGGATGTCCTGCTTCCCAACCGAGGCAAACACTCGAGCCTTCAAGAACCTTCTAGATACTTATTACGTGTTACCAGCGTCACGTGACTTCCGCTGTCTTTTCTGAAAGTGCGAAGCGTGTTCTGTTCAACGACACAACGTGGCTCAGACCTTAAACTTTGTAAATAATTTTTCATTTTAGACGAGTGGAAGAAAATCTTTAGGTGTATAGAAACCATTTCTTTAGTCTGTTTTCATAGATAAAGATTATCTGATAATCTGATAATCATGTAAAACTCTACCACAGAGCAAATTTTCCATTAAAAAACATGCTTAGGCTATTTCTGAAACAAAGTAAGATGGTCAAAAATAGAATACAAAATTAAATATTGCATGTTATACTTATAACACTAGCTGATACTCTTAGATTCCTTAACGCGTTAGACAACAGATATTTGTAAAAACAGATTTAAGTGGAGGAACGTGATAAATTTTGAAGACTCTATGAGCTTGTTCAAAGACAAATTTTAAATTTGCTACCACATGTTAAAACATTGCTTCCAACAAAGCTCAAACGGTTGGATCAAACCCTTTGAACCCCTCAAGATAAAACGACACCCCCCTCCAGTGACACAGCGGTATGTCTGCGGAATTATACACCTAGAAATCGGGTTTCGATACTCGTGGTAGTCAGAGCACAGATAGCCCTTTGTATAGCTTTGTGCTTAATAACAAACAATTCAAGATAAATTTTCTGTAATAACTTCAAGATGTTGAACATTATGTTGATGCCGCCAGATAACACTATAAAGCAAATAGTTAAGAACAATTCTGATGGCAATTTTCATATGGTTTATAACAAAATAACAATTCATCGAACCGAGGCATAACAACATTAAGGAATATAACGAGGAATACATGCAAACATTGCTGAGTAATACATAATGATAAAATACATAAGACACATTTATATGTGATGATTTATTTAAACATTTAGATGCTTATATAGTTGTTTCTTTCTTTTGTGAGAGAGATGTGTAAAAAAAAAAATATTGTTACGCTTACCTGAAGAGGTTAATCCTGTGTTGCATATCATTTACAGGCATTGTAAGAATCGCCTAGTATTTCAAGATACAATTTTCATCCGTTGTTTTCGAAAGTTTTATATTTTTAAACAGTTTAGTTCTG